CTAATTTTGAAAATAACCCTACCTGTCGTCTTATCAACCCTCGTAAGTCCGAAATCGGTAAAGTAAGTAAACAAATTCTAGACAGAATCAACGCGAAAGTTATCGAGTCTACCGGCATGAATCAATGGAAAAATACGAAATCTGTCCTGACGTGGTTTAATAACATCGCCGACAAAGATCAGCATTAATTATCGCATTTGACGTAGTTGACTTTTATCCATCTATTTCGATTGAACTTCTCGACGCTGCTTTAGATTTCGCATCAAATTACGACAATATTACGGACGAGGAACGAGAAATTATTATGCACGCCAAAACATCATGTTTACACAGTTCGGGAAACTATTGGGGCCGGTAAACGGACATCATCTAGTCTCTTTGATGTTACAATGGGCAGCTTCGACGGTGCAGAATCGTGTGAACTAGTGGATTCATATTTACTACATCTTATCACAACAAAGCATGGAAACAACTTCGGATTATATAGAGATGACGGGTTAGGAGCCATTAAAGCGACAGCGTGTGAGATAGAGAATATCAAAAAAGATTTGTGTTCCATTTTCAACAAATACGGACTTAAAATCACAATTGAAGCTAACAAGAAAATAGTCAATTTTCTTGACGTTACCCTTAATTTGTCAACCGGGAAATATCAACCATACGCCAAACCTAATAATATACCCCTTTACGTGCACAAGAAATCTAATCACCCACCGAATATCCTGCGCAATATCCCACTGTCTATCAACAAACGCCTAACTGAAATATCATCCGATGAGAAATCATTTCAACAAGCCTCGCAACAATACCAGCAAGCACTTCAGAATAGTGGTTATAAACACCAGTTAAAGTACAAGCACCTACTTAATCATACAACCCCTCGAACCCGAAATCGAAGACGTAATATCATTTGGTACAATCCACCATTTAGTAAAAATGTATCAACAAATATTGGACAAACATTTTTGAATATCATCGATGATGAATTCCCAATAGGCCACCCCTTACACAAAATATTCAACCGCAACACTGTTAAAATAAGCTACAGTTGCATGCCTAATATCAAACAAACCATCGACGGACACAACAAGACCAAACTGTCAAAAACCGCCACAACGAGTGAAGAAAGCACATGTAACTGTAGAAAGAAAGAGGAGTGCCCAATGTCCAAAAAGTGTTTGGTGGAATCTATTGTATATCAAGCTACAGTTTCTACCAACGACAATAGTCCACCTCAAACATACGTTGGTCTGACTGAAAACGCTTTTAAAACTAGATATTATAACCACAAAACCTCATTTACTTTGTACGAGAAAAGGAACTCCACTGAACTTAGCAAATATGTCTGGCAGTTAAAGTGCAAAGGAATTGAATTTCATATTAAATGGCAAACCTTGAAACGGGCCAAACCCTACAGCCCTGCTTCTAATAGATGTAATCTCTGCCTGTGGGAAAAATACTTTATTATATGTAAACCTGAACTAGCTACTTTGAACAAACGTAATGAATTAGTGTCTTCGTGCAGACATGCGAAAAAATTTCTTTTAGCTAACATTTAAAGGGCATGCACTCGAGACAGACATATTTTTGTTTTAAATATACCGCGCAATCTTAATAGCTTGGCGTTATGCTGATGTGTTGTTAATACTTCCGCGTCCTGTCAATTTTATCAAGTAACAAAATAATTGCTTTGCGTGCTTTGTAAATAGGATTAATTTAAAGCTTTCATCCACTTGTACATAAATACTGTAGGTTTTTTGCTGTAGTCATAAGGCTAATTTATCTGATGAGTGCCACATCTTGTGGTACGAAACTAATAGTAATAAAGATGCCTAGTGGAATTTGTTGAGTCGTTGCACTTATTTTATATATATATATATATATATATATATATATATATGGAAATCACTGACTTGAAGTAACTTGAACGCAAGTGATTAGTGTTTGTGACTTTTTCGTTATTAATTAAAGGGTTTAGTTTTATTGTGTTTCGTTGCTATAATAAACGATGCGTTACAGAATTAGCATGTTCATGTATGGCTTCGTAATGACCTCGATATATTGATATTTTGTATAGATGTGTTAACAGGGGCGTAAATGTGGGGGTGGGGGTGGGGGGGGGGGGTTGGTTCACCCCCCCCCCCAGAGAAATGATCCAGTCGGTCTCAAACTACATGCAGTCGGTCTCAAAATTATGTGTTTGTTTACACGCAGTGTTTTGCGAAGCAAATTAAATATTTTCGAAACTCGAGATAGGCTCAGACTATTGAGTATTGAGTTGGAAATTTGCTCAAACGGATCAAACAGCTCAGAAATAATATGAAGAAATATTACGTACTTATTTCGCGAGTTTATGAACGAATTATCAGTCAAAACACGCGCAAAGGGATGAAGTTTCCATTTACTTTCCAAGCATGGAGATATCTACTTTACGATTACGTGTTGGCACATTTATTTGGAATTTAGGTTCTGCAACGTCATTCACGGGTGATATTCTATATTAGCGAAAATTTCAAACAACCAAAATCAGACTTCAAAACGCGATGAATCTCGATCAAAATAGCTAACATTAGTTACAATATTTTCCCGGTCCCTAAACTATATTTTTAAGATGAAAGTGCAAAAACGAATTTCTAGCCGAGTTATATTAGGAAGTATGTTCACATGTAGCACAATATGCATATGAATTTTGTTACCAAAGAGTTTTTTGTGCCTACTGCAATCAAGAAATTCGATCAGTGAACGACGCACTGGTTTATCTGAAATAACGGAGCGAAAAATTGCTTCCACTGACTAAGCGATGTTTCCAATTGTTGCTTCCAGTCAGGCCCATAACTAGGTATATGAGTCAATCGAGTTCAAGTTCAATGACACACTGTAGTTCTCTCCATGTAAAGAAGCATTATTCTTGCCCTACAGTGACGTAAGAAATGGGAGGCTGTGTGGGTGCACAAGTACCTCAATAACAAAAGTGCGGGCTAGCGCCCAAATATTTACAACAATTGAGCACAAACGCTTTTTTATTATGCACCTGATCAATGATGTTCGATCAAAAATATTTGTAATTCTTATCCTCAGGATTGGGGGCAAACTATACAGTATAAAATTATAGTCATTGTGTCACTGTAATATGAAATTGATTTTTCCTTTGAACTGCTCCCAGAATGCGGGAAATAGCGTTTCTAAGCCTTAGAAAATCAAAAATTTTCTGGGGGAGCATGCCCCCAGACACCCCAGAAGTGTCTCGGTCAATCAAAAATCCTATAGTTACGCGCCTGACAGTTCCGCATCAGGCGAGCGCAGCTTTTCAAAGCTGAAATCAGTGAAAACTGCGATGTGTAGAGTAATGAACCAGGAACGCCTTGGTGAACTCTTGACTCTTGCGTGCATGTGAGCGCGATCTAACAGACACGATCGATCTTCAGACGAAATCCGTGGTCAAAACTTACTAAGCGCGGACACTTAATAAAAATATAACGTTTCACAGCAAACTGTACGTGTTCGTGCAAAATTCCTAATAAATGCCATCAATTTCCATGCTTTGTACTCAATTTTATTGCAACACACCAACTCACCAAGAGTCGGTCTGGATTCACATTTCATTGATGGGTCGGTCTCATTTCGTGACTACGCCCTCCCAGTCAAAATCGATATGTCCGCCCCTGTGTGTTAATGATTTATTAATTGATTTAAGTAACTGATATCTTCAGGAATATGAGCAGGGATATGTATTTTAGGCTTTTCAGGAGTTTTCAACAGCAATGTTATTTTATCGCTTCCCTGCATAAATTAAACCACCAACGATGAACTCTTTGCGAGGATGAGCTCGGTTTTAATTTCGGTACTACAGAATACTACAAGACCAGTCAAAACCTTTATGGCATAGTTATGGCTATGTGCCCAGTTGTTAGCACATAGCCGCTTTATTATTTTAATCAATTTTTAATAATTAGCAAAAAAACATTGTAATTAATAACTATATAGCATTTAGCACAGAAAAGTGGGATAGCGTCCAAAAACGGTCGAAAAGGGTAGGTAAATCTTTTTCGTCCAATGCCTTGATGTGCACTGCAGCCCTCGTTGAATACGAAAGAAAAGATGGCCCGCTTCATCACTGGATAAATACCAAAACTTCCAATCACGTGACTATACTTAAATTAACTATTGCGCGTGCAAATAACCTATTTCGCATAACTATTTTCAACTATAAATCAGGAAGCAATAAAAACTCTTATTGCTGTGGTAATAAGTTCTTTATTCCTGTTTTGTGGCTCATAATGTAATCACAAAATGGCACAACCATATGCCAAGTTATGTCCCTTGTTGTGGGTGGGATAAGGTGTTCCCGTAACAATGTAAAGTTTATGTCCGACCACGTTTACGCACGTATAACGTATTTATACCTATCAAGTTACGCACGTAGTACATAATATTTTTGGATGAAGAAAACCATCGATTACGTCACCGAGAGATCCGTCACGTCGGCAGAAATATCGTATGTTCAACAAGAAATCAAATTAGAAGTCAGGAACTATTAAAAAAAAATTGGAATTGTGGCAACAAGCTTGTCTCATTTCTCGTACTTCTGACGATATTTCATAATTACGATATTATTTAGTCTTCGAATTACTCCAAAGTTTGACTAATGGTATTTTCAGGCAGCGAAATGTACCAAAACTGTTGTAACTGATATCTTTAGTCTAGGACCTGTATAGATGTTTGTATGCGTTTCATTTAGCACAGGTAATCTCAACTGTTTTAGGGTAAAGTGACCATGGCGGTCAACATGGTATATGTGCCAAAACCTAAATCATGGGCGAAAGTCCTGAAAATGACCCCGCCCTGAAACGGCAGTGCCGACATAGCTCTAACTTCCGAAAAGCAAAAGCGACAGCCTTTCTGAAGTGCTTATAGTGTTTAGAAGGGTTGCTTTTGGGGGTGGTCATTGGAAGGAAAAATTTGTCTGAGTATAATATATGCACCACCCCAGGTAAATTGCTGATTATGCACAAAATAACTAATATGCCTGGCAGAAATTTAATGTTCTTATTTCCTAAAAACAATTATCATGGGATGAAAAACTATACTTAATTTAATATAATTATTGTAGTTTTCAGAAGGATTGTCATTGTTTTCTTTAAATATAATACATTTTAATTCACTCACGCACCCACGAAAACACCATTTCAGCCATACTTTGCCGTCTTGTTTGCTTTTTATCGCCGAGTCTCACAGATATCATCCAGTTGTTTTACTTTTAGATAATGGTAGATGGCTAAAGACGATTTCGACGAAGTTTAATGAAGTTTTGAAACAGTGCAGTCCTTCGATATTTCGTCAAATTGCCGCCATGTTAATGGCTCGCCGCTTCTCTGCCCGATAAATTCACTTCTTCGCCTTCCTATGTGTTTAGACTACAATATCCAAGAGTACTTCATTGTAGAATAGTCCCAATCGAAAAAATGAAAACATTTGTTGGGTTTTGATGCCAAAATCCTTCAGGTAACCATTTACGTTCAAAATAAAATACAAAGCATTTGAAAGTCACGCGCAATCTTCGCGAAAACTTCTCATGGACACATGACAGGGGGGGGGGGGG